ACTGAGATAAACTTAATCAAGAGATAAACTTTGTTGGTTTTTATAAAAAACACTTTGAATCAGCGTTACCCTCCGTGGCCTACATTGACTGCACAGCAGCAGGGTTGACATTAGAGTGTGTATGTTGGTGAAATTGAGGTCAGAAGAACAGAGCACCAAATGGGTCAGTGTGAGATCAGTGCTGCGACTCTTTTAATCCACACACGTGCAGAATTAGGGCAGGAGGACAACATACCTGTGCTGACACCACAGATATAATCAAACAGTTTGTAAATGGGTTTGCCGGTCAAGGTTTCCAGCTTCTGTAAAGTCTGAAGTGCGAGAAGTCCCCTGAAAGTACAAAGACAGACACATACACACAGAGCCACTAAATAATAGGAAAACAACCAGAGCAACAGAACTGGGTTCAAAGAGTGAAATCTGATCTCAATAAACATAAATCCTTATCTTTTTACAGTTACTGTTTCTCAACAGTTCTACTTCAATAACTGAAACTGCTAATAGAGGCATTGAATCGCTTTTCATTATATTCTGATATGACCTCAGCTGGAGTAAAATGCCATTTAGTTCCACTTTGAAAAGAGTTGACATCAGTGAATTAAACCTTACAGTAAATAAAAGAAAGAGAGATGAATAAGTACCTCAAACCTCCTCCATCAATAGAAAGGATCCGTATACCTCGACCTTTAACAGGCTTCTGATAGCCAACCAGAGCAAGAGCTTCTCTGACTGCTGCCCTCAAGCCTGGGTCAGTGGCCTGCTTCAGACGCAGGAGGCAAGGGATGACCCTCTCCTGAGGAACACACGCACAGCAAAGGGACAACAGTCAATCAATCATAATTATGTGCACACTGAGAGAAAGTGGAGGTGGGAGAGAAAATAACAAGAGCAAAGAGCATGGACTTAGGTGTGAGATGGCAGGGCTAGTTCGGTTAGTTAGTCATTAAATGTTGTTGTCCTCAGTTAAAATGTATAAACTGATTTTACATGCTGCTGTCTTAACAACCTTCTTTTGTATTTCACACACAGTCATAGAGCACCTCATATATTCTGCCAGTTTTCTTTTGAGTTCGACAAACATCCACATCTACTTTCATCTACATGAACCTACGAGGGGAGGGGAGGGGAGGGGAGGAGAGGGGAGGGCTCTACCTTATCACTTTACAAACTGGATATTTTTTGGAGCTATGGACATGTTTATTCAGGTCAGTTTACACACCTTTGAGGCGAGCATATAAATAAGCACTGGGCAGATGTCAACAATGAAGCAAGTAATTCACATGTTCACATGTAAGATTTAATAAACATTAAATAATCTGACAATTGACAGATTCCTTCACAGAGATGTTAACATCACATATTATTCAGGTAGGACTCCAAATGCCATAAATCTAAGTTATTTTATCAATGGAAACATCATAATATTTAAGTGACTGAACACTTGTTCAAACAATGTTTGATGATACAAGTAGTGCAAAATAATTTAAAATTAATAATTGGAAAAATGAATGACAGCTGGCTTAAAGCACAAGCATCACTGCTACAACTCTATCCTATAGAACAGTCAGGATCCTGCAGCCTCTCTCAAACCGACTGGACATTGGCCACTTTTTCAAAATTTCTTATTTAATCAGAATGACTTGAAATGAAAGCACATGATACAGTCATCATGAAGAAGAATGGAGATGGTGAATATTACTGTGACCTTGACTAAAGGTGCTACCATGGACTGAATAAGGGGACAGGAGTTAATAGTAGAGATGTCAGAGGACTTTTTTTTTTCTCACATAATGACTGTGTTATATATGAAACTCAGGTCAGTCAGTCACCCCAATGATGTCCTTTATTTCTGTTGTCATTTGAAAAGCTATGGAAATGATTCTTCCAGTGATACGTTGAGCACAACACTGTTCTGGTTTTTCACGCAGGATTAACCTTCCTCACACACAAGTAAATGTCAGCTTGTTCTTATTTGTATAAATAGCTGAATACGGAAAGAGTTCTCCACGCCATCACAGATAAGGCGGAGACATAAATACATGCAACAGTATGCAGTCTGCCTGTAGTTGCGTGGCTCTGACAATAAACAGAGCATAACATAAGATGTTGCCATAGCTGACAAACTGACATTTTGCCTGGTGTGGGAAAATTCCCAAACACAAGCACAAGGCCAGTATCTACATTATTCACATTCTAAAGCTGTTTAGTATTCAATCCAAATATAACACGCTTATGTACGTAGGTGTAAAAAATGTGCTGCAGTAAACACTGTCTTTATACTGTGAGCTTGTGCCAAATGTAAGAGTTGATGCAGCATTAGACATTTTGCTGACAAAGCCTCGGGATGCTTACATTCTGGGAAAAAAGGGGAGAAAAAAATGCAGGGCTGCTCAGATTTCTCACCTTGACAGCAACAACACGAGTCTCTGGAAACTCCAAGAGATGGTAGCTGAGGTCTTCCACCCTGTTGATGTAGACCCTAACATCTGATGCCCTGTGCAGAGCCTGGACCAGACCCCGAGTCCGATTGTCCACACTCACCCTGGCAATAATCTGGAAGATATGCAGACAAAATAAATAGCAAGTAAAGTCTTAGTGTTACAAATAAAAGCGTGGCCTGCACAAAGCACAAATCTCTGCCTCCACAAGTGTCTTATTTTGGAAAACAGAACTCAGGGAGCACATCTGCATTTGATATATCAAGCAAGAGCTTTGGTCAACTCGTGGTCAGCAGACACTCTGCTATAATATGCAGACCTATGATGAGTGCATCAATTTTCCCTCAAACATAGACAGAGAGGATGTCTCACATAGTTAGAGTCTGTGTCTGCAAAACAAAGACCGAATGTTTACATATTATCCTATGCCACACCCTTGCGATACTGACAGAACTGGTTACTAAAGATTTATGCTAACTATCACATTCATATTCATACAAAGAGAATGATTTATGAATCAATGCTTTGTTGTAGACGTACCTTTTCCCTTTGAAGTAGAAGCTTCTTGGCTTTCTCCTCTGCGGCCTTCTGCTCCTTACTAACAGTGGCCTCAACCTGTTTCACTGCTGCATCCTCAATCTTCCTCTCCTCCACTGCAGCAGCCTTGGACTCTGCTGACCTGAATTTGGGGACCAGGGGAGCAATGTAGCTGCCAACGAAGGCTTGTACAGTGGGAGCGGAGTATGACAGGTAGTGTCCTAAACCCTTCTTAGAAGAAGGAGGAGTAACCGGAGCAGCAGAGCCTCTTTTATCAGACACTTGCATGAGGTCAAAAGTTTGTTGACCCTGAGAGGAAGCAGTGGGACAGTCAACATTGTCCACTTTCTTGTCCTGAGTCTTTGTACTGCTGCCAAAGTATGTGTTGATGTGATTGGCCAGGTAGTTGTACGTCTCGTCCAGGCTGACGGAAAAGGTGCTGGGATGGAAAAGTGCTGTGGGTTGTTTGGGAGTTGTGCTGTTGTTCTCCAAGTCGCTCAATGAAGCTTTAGGCTCCTCGGTCTTAAAAATGGAAGAACTGGCTTTGACAGGAGGAACGACACGCTTTATTCTTCTCTCCTTAAGTTCTCGCCCAGTCACAACTGCAGCAGCAATGGTCGCAGGCGTGAAATTGTGAGAATGAGTGGAGGTAGTAGCACCTGTATCACACGCAGCAGCAGATGTAGGAACAGAGGGACTTCCAGAGGATGAGTTGATGATAGGTTTGAGTGTAGTGGTTGTAGAAGGAGGAGCAGCACTGTTGGGAGCAGGAGTAGCTGTGATTGAACTCTCCTCAGCTTTTGGCTTTGGCTCAACACTGACCTCAGCCTTGTTCAAAGCCTTTAAAGAGTTTGGTTTTAGTCTGGTAAATTTGGAGAGAAGTTGTGTGTGTGTCCCACTCACAGCTTTAGAAACTGTGTCCAACGTGTTCCTGACCCGTGACATGTGTTGGCTCAGACCAGCCGTCCAACGTGAGGCTGACGTGTTCAAATACGGGCTGCTGGTGTGGAGTCCGAGACTTTGTCTGACCTGGTTGGCTTTACAGGGCCACCCTTTACGAGCCCTGCTCCTCTGGTGGTGGGAGCGCTTCCAGATGAGACGATTGGCCTTGTAGCAACCAGGTTGCTGTGCATGAATCCTACAGTGAGAGGTACCAAACAATGGAAGTGATGCTGTTGACTTGCCACCATGTCTTTGCCACAACAGATATGATCTGTTTACTTTCCCCAAGATGTTTGGAGTACATCTATGACTCATTCTGTCAGGTCATAAGAGTTTATGACATCCAGAGAAATATAAGGTCTATGCTCTCCCTTCTCATTAACCTGGCGATGAACAACAAAAAAAGTGACATTTAGATGACAGAAGGACAAGGGGAAAAAAATTAGGAAAATGAGGTGACACAAAAAGCACTAAGGCTGCTCCTAACTGGTTTCTAGGCTTTTAGATAGATAGATAGATACTTTATTTTAAATGTAGGCATCCAGTAGCACACAAAACAGTCAAACACAAAAGCATAACAATAATAAAAGGTCAAAACAGGTCAGAATAAGTTCACCGCAGTGAAATGAAGTCTAGCCACCAGATCTACTGCAAAGCTGTCACTGTAAAGAAGTATGTGCTAAAGGAGATATTGAAATTCAAATATCCTAAGTGTAAGGTGACTGAAACACACAAGTAACAGTAACAGTAACCGAGGCAGAGTACTGAAGGCAAATATAAATACAGAGTTAAAGATAAATAACTGAAGCCACACAACGTTGTGCATTAATGATGGCACTGCAGATGTAATTGTATTTTTTAAAGAGGTGAAAACAGTGCAAGAATAAAACGTAAAATATAAAACTAGAGATATAAAAAACGTTAAATCAATTTAACTTTCACATAGTCAGTTTCTTTTAAACCTCTTTGGTAACTGAACCAAACTGAGAGTTGAACCAATGAGATAACAGACTCAGGACCACACGTTTCAACATCAGCAGCTAACTGTTAGCTTCGTTCACACACAGTGGTGCAGCTCGTTGAGTTAGCATTGAGAAAGGCCACACAGGGTGAAATAAACCATACCTGTGTTTGAGGTCGTCGTCTCATGGAAGCAGGAAAACGTGTAACCATCTCACTGAGTCGCAGAAATCCATTAACGTTAACATGGAGTCAAATAAGACGTAGAACAAATCTGTGTCACTCGACCTGCCACTTTAGTTCAAGCGTGACATCACCAAGTCAGTCAGGAGAAAAACAATGGTCACATGACGTTCTATGTGCTTTGCCATTGGCTAGCCGGCACTTGTCCCCTTAAATGGAGTCTGTTGATTGGTTGAGGATAGCTGACGTTATCTGTGGCAGAGGAGCAGCTTGTATTTGTAACCGGCGTACACCGATGCTCACACAGAAGGGCGGTGTTGGAATCAAAAAGTATGAATGGATACCCACCCCTCCACACATCAGACGGGACTCAAAATAACAAATGAAGCGCTACACGTGCACTTGGACATGCGACACCTAAAAAACAAACTGTTGTCTTCACTAAAATGTTCTAATCACAGGATTATTGTGAACCTTTATTCCACAGTGTGTATACTAAGAGAACAAAATGTGAAGCATGTAGAAAACTACATGGTTAGATCATTTAATTTTATTGAACAAAGAAGAGAAACAACAAACAAAACCAGAGTGAAACAAGAATAAGAGTCATCCGTTTCACAGAGCTCAAGGACTTATTACGTGTATCATTTTAACCCCTCTTGTTTTTAGAGAACTAAACTAGTTTTGTTGACCTGCTTGAAAAATAAAAATCTGTGTTTGAATGAGAGACAGATCCAATATAAACAATCACAATCCTCAGGGCAGAACTCACAAAGAGAGCAGCTACAACCTTCATTTCGTTGACATTTAACTAAATAAATCCAATAACCTACGTGAGTGTAGTTAAACAGGCTGAAACACTCGGAGGATGAGAAGTATTACCTGTGTTGACCGGCAGAGGGAAGAAATGCCTCGACATGCCCTGATACAAGAGAAGGATCGAAGAAGAAGAATACATGCAAACGATGCTGCTGCTAACTAGCATCTGTCGATGAGCTACACAAGTTCACCTCGTCATGTTTAACTCCGGTTAACATCTCACAGACAGGGTGAGTGCAACACAACACAACACAACCAGCTCTCCTGTCAAACCTGGCGAAGGTAGGTGACACAATGAAGGAGCGCGTCTGAGCTGTAGCTGTTAGCCACCGTCACAGGTGATGTCATGACAGAGCATAACGTTAGCATCGACTTACAGGAGCTCTGGGGACCCGAGTCTATAGATCTCTATAGACTAGTTATATAGACTGTACTCTAGTTATATAGACTGTTCACTAGTTATATAGACTGTACTCTAGTTATATAGACTGTTCACTAGTTATATAGAC